CCCCTTAAGAAAAACCCCTGAAAAAAAAAAAAAAATGTTTTTCCATGGGGACCAGAAGGTGGCATGCTGATTAAGGCACTGGACACTCTCACTATGGACCACAGTTTTTTTGAGTATTGGACCTGGTGGCTTGCTTTCTCTCTCTCTCTCTGGGCAAATTAAGATAAACGAATGAATAACATTAATCATTTTTAAAAAAATATTTTTCCAGGCCACGTGGTTAAGGCATCTGGATCCCACAATGACTGACCATGTGATTCGAGTCCCAGACCTGGCAGCTTCAAAAACACACCGGGCGTGTGTTTTTGGCACCCAAAATGCCAAAAAAAAAAAAAAAAAAAAAAGGGAGAAAGGGTGGAGAAGAGATTGTGATGTGACTGTGCCCAATGGTGTATGTGTGTTTTTTTTTTTTTTTTGGAGAGATTTTCACTGTAGGGCGCATGCGCTCGCCAGACAGAAAGCGAGAAATCACCCCCCAGGGGGGATGGTCACGCCGTAATCCCCTCTCCTCCATTCTCCTCTCGGGATCTTGGGCACGCATGCACACGCGCCCGGTGTGAGTTTTAAGCTACTGGGTCCGGGACACGAACCGGGGTCGACTACGTGGGAGTCCAGCGACATAGCCATTACGCTAACTGCTGGTTCCCGGTATATGTTTTTTTGCTTTCCCTCTCTGTCTTTGTCTGGCAAGCACACCCTCTGGCAAATTAAAAACAAAAAAAGTATTGCTCCTGGGCCCTGTGGTTAAGGGAGCTGGATTCCACTTAGTTGACCATAGTTTGAATCCTGGCCTCAAGGGCTTTAAAAACACTCCCAATGTGTATGTGTGCCCCAAATCTTGTCAGGATTTGAGAAGTGGAGGAAAAGTGGTTGTGATGTGACCACATCCCATTGGGGGTGCTTCTCTTTTGCTGTCTTTCTGTTGTCTGGAGAAGCACACATGCCCTCTGGCAATTTTTTAAAAATGGAAAAGATTTCTCCTGTTGGCAGGAAGAGCATTTAAAACTATTTTCAGTTACTTAACCTAGAAGAGCTGAAGAGTAGAGCTCTAAGGTACATGTCTCCACTTTGACAGGCTTTTCTGTGGAGAGAGTGTTAAATGTTTGCCTCTGCTTCCTATCCCAAAAGATCGGGGGGGGGGGGGGGAAAAGAGTGGCAATAATGCACACTTGTATTTTGCTTTTATAAGGGGAGAAAATTGGGCCCAGCATTTCAGTCAAGTAATAACACTTCTTTAGGACCCAACTTTGGTGTGTGTGCTGCAAAGATACTGTGCTCTGCAGGCCGGGATCAGTTGGGAAGCCCGGGTTCAATTCCTAGTTCAACAAAGGCCAATATGCTGGTATGCACCTGTAATCGCAAGAGCTGGGGAGACTGAAGCAGGGAGATTGTGAGCTCATGGCCGTCCTGCCTAACATAGCAGAACACTGTCTGAAAGCACTGGGTATTGTGCATGCCTGTGGTTCCAGCTACTTGAGGCTGAGGCAGAAGGATTGAAACAGAAAGGTTCTGTCTTTAATAACCACCACAGGGACCAGCAGGTAGTGTGGTGGTTAGGGCACTGGACTTACATGTGACCGACTACAGTTTGAGTCGTGAACCTGGCAGCTTGCTTGCTTGCTTTCTCTGTCTCTCTCTCTCTCTCTCTCTGTCTTTCGTCAAATTAAAAAAGTAATAATAAATAAAATTAAATAATTCTTTTGAAAATTTTTATTTTATTGGTTCTTTTTTTTTTTTTTTTAACATTTGCTATAGGACACACAGGCTCACCAGGAGAGAGTAAGGGAAAGTGAGAAAGCAGACCACCAGGTCCCGGATTTGAATTGCTATCAACCATGTGGTACTCCAATGCCTTAACCATCACACTACCTGTTGGGCCCAATAAATAATTAAAAAAAAAAAAAAAAAAATGTAATGGTTACATTGCTGGACTCCATGGCTGACCACAGTTGGAGTCCTGGACCCAGTGGCTTGAAACTCATACTAGGCAAGTGTGCATGCTTGCCCAAGATCCTGGGAGGAGGATGGAGAAAGGATCGTGTTGTGGCCATCCACACCGGGGGGTTGATTTCTCCCTATCTCTGTCTGTCTCTCTCCCTCTGGCCAGCATACATGCCCTACCACAAGAAACACTTAAAAAAGATGTTCACAGCAAACTTGCATTAATGACTGTTAGACTGCATCTTCAGGACACAGATACGGTTTATTATCTGTTGATGAAGATGTGTATAGTATTCTCAACTGGGCTGGACTGAGGTGTATATCATGCTGGGTAAAGTCTCTCTTTTTTTAAAAATTATTTTTAATTTTATTTACTCATTTACTTATTATTATTA